TAAGGAATTACTAGTTCGCTATAACCTGTAGCTCCGATACCAATCTGTCACATCCCTAGCCGACAGCGAAAATGTTGGGTTGTACGACGTATGGATATTGGATCGAGGCATATATATATATATATATATATATATATATATATATATATATATACATATATATATATATATATAGCACATAATACAAAAGTATATCACAAACCATACTTTTATTTATTATAATTTATTTAGGATGACATTGTTTAAAAGGTCAAACACACATCCTAAACATAACTAAAAATGACGAACAGACAAACTAAACTCCAACAAGCTTCTTTGAAGACATCCTCCTTGGCATGCCTATCCTCCTCACCCATCTCCTTGAGAATACATTATTTTTGAAAACGTGAACATAATGTTGGTGAGTGCATAGTTTTTTTTTTTTTTTTTTTTAGTTTTCTGCTTTATTTGGTTGTATTAAATTAAGAATCCTTTTTATTTTAGAAAACATTTCTTAAAATATTTTATCAACTCTAGCTTACTATCGTTTTAGGATACTTTACCAATCCTAAATTACTATCTTTGTAGGATATTTAATGATCCTATCTTATTATCTTTTAGGATATTTTATTAATCCTAAGTTACTATCTTTTAGGATGTTTTACTAATCCTAACGTATTTTATCTACCACTCTAAGGCGTCCCTCTTGGTACTCGGATCTCTAAGGTGGTAGTAATGTATTACCATGAGCCCCTATAATCGACGTTGTTTGACTAGTGATTTCCCCGCCACGACGCTTCATCATACGTAGAATAGTGATTAATAAGAAAGTTATCATTTCGGGATTGTAGCTAGCAATCGTAAGTGGGGGTGTCAATCCTCGTATAGATCTATACATATCTTTCTAGCTCTCGCAAGATTAACGATTACAGGTATCGGGGTAGCCGAATTTAATCAAGGCTATTGGATAAATATTCTAACGCATTAACCTTAGGTATTTATATTTTATCTTTTTATCTTTCTTAGTGATTTTCTATAACTATCATAATATAAACCCTTTTAATTTTATATTTGATAATTATATCTTTTTGATCTCATAATTATTTTGTATATATATATATATATATATATATATATATATATATATATATATATATATATATATATATATATATATAATTTTGCGATACATATATATACCCTAATTATGGTTATTAAAAAACATGATATTTGGACAGAGTAAAGATTAGGTGCAATGCATATCTCTATATTTGATAAACATTACTTCTAGATATTATGTTATCCTAGGAAATTGGTCATTATAACACCTAGGCAATATCTCTTCCTAGACTATCGGGTATCATATCTCTTAGGCATAATATCATAGCTTACAACTAGGTATAGTATCTATAACTACATTATCCTAAGGTTTCAAGCTTTATAAAACGATTGATATTTATTGATATAAATATATTTTGATAAACAATTTGATAAGCATGTATTCCCCCCGTAAAACTTTTAAAGTAGTAAAATGAGGTCGTGAACTCACCTTAGTCGTGTGAGACTGTTGGTGTAGGGTTGAATCGGGTTCGAGACTCTGGGGACCGCTCCAAGGGTATCAACTTCGAGAGATGCAGAGAGAGTGAGAGAATGGAAGGCGTGCAGAAGTGATCTGCACTGCCTTCTATTTATAGGAATGGAATTCGGTTGCGCGCGACGCAAATATCTGTGCGCGTCGCGCGTGATCATCGTGGCTCCATCCAGAGAAGGCCATATGTCACTTCCCCAATTGGCCACATTACTCGCATTCTGCTCAAATCCGATATCAGCTGCGCGACAGGCATAGGCGCACACCTCGCACGCACGGAAAGATTCTGTAAAAATCATAATTTCTTCGTGCGAGCTCCAATCTAAGACCTCTTTATATCTATGTGATGATCTCAATGGGTACTACAACTCTCCTTTAGGTTGCTTTATCTGGTTTTGAGTTTCATTTTTGTGCCTAACGGGAGTAAAAATAAATGATTTTACAAAAATCATATCCCTCTCATAGGATCCCGTTTTCGGCACTCTTTGTCTTAAAAAAAAATTATCTTAAGGAGTACTACGAATCTCCTTTTTGCACTTTTAGTCAAAACCCAATCAATATCTAAGTACTGTTTTGACGTAATTAATTTTAATTACGCGGTTGATTTTATTTTTATAAAATCAATAACTCTTTCCTTTGGAGTCGGATTTTTACGAATCTTATATCCTTGGGATCATGTTAACGAGTACTTTCCAAATATGTTAACCAGTTTAAAAGACGATACAACTTTTTGGACGCTTAATTTTGAGCCTAACAGACGTTTTAACAATAAATATAACGACACATTTGGTTTTTATTATCTCAAAATCAAATATTACAATATTAAGATATTACATCTATTTTCGTACTCTTTCCTAATGGTTATCAGTGATAGAATCATCTCGGTTGTCACAAGTATTTTATGATTTTGAGATTGTACTCTGATAACTATTTTTCCATATTTATACACTTTGATGGTTTGAAATGAATTATTGATGGTTTTGGTTGACTTAAAAATAAAAGATTTTACTTAGTATTTTAGGATGTTACACAAATGATGAGCTTTAACTATGGTTAGTTGGAGATAACACATGCAATAAGTTGATGGTTTGGGTGGTGGTGGTTATAATGATTCTTTGGATCTTCAATGTGTATGTATGTGTGTGTGAGAGAGAGAGAGCGCAAACACCAAAAATTGTTTTGAAGGCGGTGGCTGTTTCTTAAGAAAAAAAGAGGGGTAATATGTTTTAAGGTTAGTGGGTTAGGAAGACCGTGGTAGGATTATGTGTTTCTTTTTGTTAATAAAAGATTATTTTAAAATTGAAAAAAGGGAAAAAAAAGATTAATAAAAAACATAAGCATGGGTAAAGTAGTAATTTCAGATCATTTATGAAAAGGAAAATGAAATCACAAGACTATCCACACAAAAAGTATAATCGTAGGGACTTAACATGCAACATTTTCAATAATGGTAATGAATTAGTCTGTTTTTGAGAAACCATAAGAACTAAGGGAAATTGACTTATCAATGTAATTATCTTTTCATTCGATTCACATCTGAGTAACCTCATTTTTTATACATATTTAGGTAACGAACTTTTTGGAAGTGTTCACATATGACAATTATGACCGGCTGTAGCAAGTTACTGTCGGTCATAATGGTCATATGTGAATACTTCCAACAACTTTGTTACCTAGATGTGTAGAAAAACGAAGTTACCTAGATGTGAACAAAACGAAAAGGTAATTACCTTGAGAAGTCAATTTCCGTTTTTATTAAGGCGATCGTTCATATTATTTGCAATATTAATAGATTTAGTTAAATTTCCTTACCAAAGAGTTTCTAGCCCAACGGTGTCAGGTGGTGTCCTCCCTCTTTGAAGTTGAGGGTTCAAGTCCAGTCGTGAACAATAGGTGGAATTATGTATAAGTTTAGGAGTAGATAAATATTTATATTTGACGATTAAAAAAAGTTAAATTTCCTGAAAACAATATTTATGACCATTTATGAACATTTAAATTGACCACAACATGTCGCAAGCCAATTTTGGTAGCATAATTATCAAGTAACTCTATATATACGAGACAACAACAATACTATCGATGTAGATAATTACTACTTGTATTATTTTTTTTTTTAAATTCCTGTAACACATAAAACAAACTTCATTAAAGATTTTGTTCTATTTCCTGTTATTAGTCTACATCTCTAGTATTTTTAGTCTCTAGTAAATTTTATTTTTTATATTTAAAATCTTAAACAATAAAATTATATAAAATGACAATGTTCGTTTCCCTGTCAATTATGGAGATTTTTTTTTTTTACCAAAGTAGTGTATTTTAAAAAGATATCTATCAAATTGGTGTGGTTTTAAAAATATTTACCATTTAGGCTAAATTTTATACCAAATAAAAATTAGAAGAAAAAATAAAAAAGAAGGAAAATTGATTTATCAGGGTAATTACTTTTCGTTTTGTTCACATTTGAGTATTTTTATTTTTATTTATTTTTATTTTTTTTACATATCTAGGTAACGAACTTGTTGGAAATGTTTACATATGACCATTATGACTACCTGTAACTTGCTACACCCGGACATAATAGTCATATGTGAACACTTCCAACAAGTTCGTTACCTAGATGTGTACAAAAAACGAAGTCACCCAGATATGAAAAAAATAAAAAGATAATTATCCTAATAAGTTAATTTCTCAAGAACCAACCCCATAACTTTCTCTTTCTATTATTGAAGCGCTGTATTAGATATGCAAATTGGCGGTTCCGAACTAGTCTCAAAATGGTCAAAAAAAATTTCTTTCGGACCGATCCGAACGGTATCGATCCGGTCTTTTTCGGGACTGGTCTCGGTCCTTTTTGGCCCGTCTCTTAGACGTTCCGTGTGCCTTTTTCAGTTCAATTTCAGTTTTTGGGTTTTGGTTTCAAGTTTTTCTATTAACGAATATGTGATTAATACCAAAATGATAGATTAAGATTTATTAAAAATGATACACTTAAGTTCAATAAACTAAAAAAAATGAAATAAGTTAAATAATGTGTGAATCAAAACTGTTTAATTAACACAAAAACGATACGTTTATAAACTTTCGCTACCAGTCTTTTTTTAGACCGATCTCGACCGATCCAGTGCTGGTCTCGTAATTGTCCAGTCTTTTTTAGACTAGGACTGTAGTTGTTCTTTTGCAGTGCGATGCGATCTTGTTTTACCTTTTTAAGTCCGACCAAAAACCAATCTTTTTGTGCGAAAAAAAAAAGTACATGAGATTGTGTATAATTGGGCTTCAATTTTAGGCCTGAAAGCTAGTCATTGGGCCCAAATCAATCACTATTAACAGAATCCCATCAATCCATACCAATACTCTCTTTTAATTTTGGCGCGAAATAGGCATTGTTCTCTGTCAGCGTCGGTCGTCGGAGTCACTTCTTTTCCCGCCGATGTCCAATTTACTGGAACTAACCGGTCTATTTTCGAGACTCGCGTCCCAAATTGAAACCGGAAATGGCGATACCAACAACGCCGACCAATCAGATGATGTTTTAGTGGCAGCTCTGAATCAATCACTCAACTTGAGCGAACAATCAAGGGTTAGGGTTTTGGACACCGCGTTGTCTTTGATGTGCTTCACAGCCCCTCAGGTAAGTATCAATTGAAATGATTAGTTTTTAAAGCAGTTCTTTTATTACTGTAATTTATATGATCTTGATTCGTGTTTATTTAGGTATTTGATTCGGTAATTGAGTATTCAGTGAATACAATCGTTTCGGTTTTATCTTCATCAATCGAATGTGAGGTCTTAAAATCCGATAAATCAGAGGTTTTGCGAATTGGTGGCTATATATCGGCCCATGACTGCGTGAGAGTGATGGAATCATGTGTCGATGTTCTGGGGAAATTAACTGAACATGGTGGGTTCATAAAGGTGACTTTTAAGTATCTTTTATCAAAAGTTTTTGAAACTTTTTCTGATTATCAATATCAAACCTGACTTCGCTATATGAATTTTTGCAGGAATGCTTTCTCGTTCATTACTGTATGCTGTTGTTCGAGTAGCTGTGATGAGGACTCAATTCCAATACACAATGCAACTTACACCAGTTTTTAATCTTCAATCAACTGAAGAGATGAGTCATGCATTGTCAAAATTGGTGTATTATATCCCAAAAACTATTCCTACCAACAATCAAGAATTACAACTGAGGTATGGCTTACCATAACAAAAAAGATGTTATTTTTTACTTTCTTCTTCATATAACTTTTCTTTTGCAGGTTGCTAATCTGGTATCTTGACCCTCAAACTCTTCTTCAAGATATATCACAACTATTGCAAGAAGCTATTGGGAGACCCTTTATTTGTCTGAATGATGAACTCTATGAGAAGATAAAATGGCGATCTGTTATAATTTTCTTGGCACTTTCTCCATTGATTTTCATTGAAACCAGATCTTTACTTCATACCTGGTTTCTGCACACGTAAGTTACTATTTTTGAATCCAAGTTCTTGTATTACTTGATATTTACTTTTGATTATTCATAACAGGGGTTTAGATTCTGTATTAGAGCTTCAAGCTGGATTGGTTTCAATGTTACTAGATCTACTCTCTAGACCAATATATTGGGGATTATCTGCAGAAATCGGATCAAAGCTTCCATTTTCAAATGCATACTTTCTCTCCAACCACAATTTACTTAGAACATTCACTGAACCCTTGTCACGTGATGGATTTCTTGAATTGGTTCATAAGATAAAAGATTCTACTCCTCAAACAAATACAATTTCAATGGTTGATCACAAATCTACATGGTCCATAGCAATGAACTTCCCAGATTGGTTTTATTTTGCTTCATTTCTACTTTTTGGAAAGAGTTTTGATTATCTACAACAGACATCATCTTGTTCAGCTGCAGCATCTTGGTATATTTCATGGATTCTAGATCCTGTAACTGAATCAGTTTCTGGTATTTTGTCTGAAAATTTGTCAAAATTCTCAAAATCGTCAAAATTGTCAAAACCCTTAGTTATTAACCTTTCAACTATTCGAATTTGGCTCAAGGAATTTCAAGATGTAAAAGCAATTGATATACAGAAGAATGCAATGTTTAGGAGGATCATATTTGGGATCTTAATTGGATCTTATTCTTCCATAACTGAAGATGGATTCGAATTGCTTCTTCATTATGTTACAACTGGGACAATTCTTCGGTCAACAGAAAGTCAACATACCGGATTAAAGGAAGCAGTTGCATGTGCTTGTAGTGTTTTCCACTTAACTGATATTACAGAAAGGATTTCAGATTCTGTATGTGATACTCGTGAGATTGCAGTTGACATCATTTGCAAGATTAAATTAAGGGTTGTTAAATATCTGATCAAGTGTGTGAATAGTTTGCTCCAGTTTCAAATCGACCAAAATAACCTTCTTTTGTATAAGGATCTACAAAGAAGAATGCTTCGATGGAGAAATCAAGGAAAAGATGTTTTCCATGGCTACAAAGACCTTGATGATGCTATTAACACAATCTCTATGTAAAATGTAAAACACTACTTTTCTTTGCTTTATATATATATATAACAATTAAAATTAAAATGCCTTTTGGATTTTGGTCTAAAAGCATATACAAACAAAATAAAACCTCTTACAAATTACAATACAACACTTTTTTTAAATGGCCAACATGGCAGGCGATATGCCTTTACATTTCCAACTGCACATACTAACCAATCAATCGTTATTTTCATCTTTATATCTTCTTTACGTGTATTTAGTATTTACCAAGGAGTTGACTTTTTGACTTTTTTCTACTAACTTCTTTTGACCAAAGTGATCCAATCTGGATTGCCTCCCAATTCCTCAAAAACAACTAAAAAGTTACCCGTTGATCTCAACCATGATCGTGGAACATGATACCTGAAATCATTACATTTTAATAAATGAAAAGTAATAAATAATAGTAGCAACAAAAAAATAATATAATTTGAAAAAAAAATCTCACCATCTTTGAGACGGATCTCCACAATATCGGTTGCATTTATTTTCATTATAAATTCCAGTGTAACTACATTTCCCACAATTACCACGTGCTTTATTTCCAGCCCAATGTCTCCCTATAGCCTCTCCATTGACCCACATTTGACCTTTTCCCATTCCATTCATATCTAAAGCCAATGGTTCGTTTCCATCTGGCGCATTGAATGTAGTCTAAAAGTAAAATTATAAAATACGTTACAATAAAATTGTTATTAATTATTAATTATTATTTATTATTTATTATTTATGAATGAATGATAACAAAATTACCTTGTACCAAGTAAGAGGCTGTTTTTGAGCCACTAAAGACCCTTGTAGCCACTCAACAGATGAACTCCCATCAAGCGTATGTAGACTTAAACTTTCACCCTTTAAACCAACCTACACATGAATAAATTAAACAAATTACAATTAAAATGTATTTTAAAATATTATATCGACATAAAACTCCACAAACAAACCTTATAAGACCATTGTTGTTTTGTCAAGTCTCGTGTACCTTCGTTTAAACCTGTTAAACTAATCGGACCTAGGATCCCAACATTGTATGTCTCAAAATGTGTGCCCACATTCTGTAATAACAAATCGTTACAAATTTTTAAATATAAATATATAATTGTTCCAAGTATTTTTTTTTTATATATATATTTTATGAAAAATTAAAAACTAACCGCAAGGCCCACAGAAACACTTAGCATGGAGATCATGTTAGCACCCGCTCTTAACTTCACGTTACCATTAAATGTTAACTTTGGATTTTTCAGTGATCCCCAAACAGTTCCTATAGTTTGACCAAACAATCAAAAGTCAAACACATATTTTTTATTTGTTTAATAATTATTATACCCATAAAATGTGATATATTTAGTTATTTATTTACCCGAGAGTTGATTGTTGATAAACACATGCAAAGCATGTCCTGCTGACATCACTGTAAGCACAGGGAACTGCCCGTTTTTTAGAAACTGTTCGTTTGGTGATATATACACTCTGGAAAATCAAATAATCAAATTTAATTTATAGATATTAAATATTAATACATAACTAGACTTCAAATTTTTAATACGTACTCTGTAAGGTACCATAAATAATCAGATTCATCTCTAGTAACATTGAGTTGTTCATACAACCCCTCCATTGATAAAGTATCACTGCTATCTGAAGATGGAGCTTCTTCATTGTATGATTGCCATGAAAACGATCCTACAGATGTCATCTTTTTTTGTGTGCTTGGAGCATTAACCTGGAAATTAATTTAAAAGTGAGAAATGTTTGTAGAAAAAAGGGTAGAATGGTAATTTTACCTTTGCCGTGTTGAAAACTTCCTTCTTGCAGTCTTGGAGGATGCTAATGGACCAAGGAGGGAGGTCATATTGGGAATTTCCAAATGTCATTTTTGCTGAAAATTGTGGGTCGTAGTTTGAGAGGAATGCAGCACAATCTCCATTTTTCGGTAGAAATACATGTATCTGTGGTTGGATAATTAATATAAGTTAGAAAAAAAATATATGGTTGTTTTTGAGAAATGACGAAACTAACCTCTTGATTCTTTCCAGGATAGGTAACAGTAGGATAAGATGAAACTAAAACCGGCTCAACTAATTTTATAGCTGTGTGTAAATCCCTTAAATGCCCCCATTTTGGTTCATTTAGTAAACCTGAAACATCACAATTGAATAAAGACGATTAATGCAAAAATTAAAGATTATAATAAAAAAAATTAATGATTTGATTGTGTACCATATTCATCAATAGGCGCATCATAATCATAGCTTGTTGTGATAAACAGACCCCCTGCTGTCCTCCCAAAATTTGTCCCCCCATGATACTAAACAACCATTCATTTAAATCTAATTAGTCAACAAACAAATCACACCCACAAAATCGACAGGGGCAAATATGTAAAAAGCACTGTCATACCATATAATAGTTGACAAAAGAACCATTATTTTGTATGAATCTCAAAACCGAATAAGCTATATCTTCAACAGGTCTGGTAGGAATCGCACCACCAAATTCCGTGAACCTTGAATAAAAAAATTACAAAATAATTATTTATCATGATACATATATTAAATATTATGTAAGCGAAGTGTGAAATTTAAAAAAAATTAGGGATAAGATTTACATGACCTACCAGCCAGTCCAAAGCTCGGTAAACATTTTAGGTTTGTATGGCTTGTTAGGGGTGAATTTTTCACAGTAGAAACCATTACACGTGTCAATCTGTCACGAGTCATGTAATCAACATGTTACAATCTTTTAAAAGAGGAGTGTTAGGTTGAGTTGTACAATGTGCATTATGAGTTGTACTACCATTGGATCAGGGGCGTCTTCTTGTTTACACATGATCCAAGGGACACCGGTTTTAAGACCATCTGCCATTTGAGCTGCCCATTTTGTGTAAGCTTTTCCAGGGGCACCAATGTCCCATTCGACAGGTCCATACTCATTTTCTATCTATAAAACCAAACAATCATTTTTTAAATTCAAATTCAAATTCAGATCAATTCTAGCTTACCTAAAACTATAATTCTATATTAATTGAAGTCAACAAAAGTCAAACCTGAGACAAGATAATTGGACCTCCTTGAGGCTCAAACAACTCCTCTGACTTCATCATGCTGACTATTTTCTCTGTAAATCTTTGCATCGCACTCTTTTTTTTTTTTTTTCATCATACAAAACAAGGAACCAAATTAGAAGAAAGGGTATTTAAGTAATTTTATTCAACTTCAAAAAATTTCAAAAATTCTAACCTTGAAAGGTCCATTGTCTGTTCTGAAAGACATCCCAGGTACATACTTTAGCCAAACAGGAAATCCCCTGAATCCAAAACGTAACATAAAAAAGCATAAACACAATGCTAATTATTATTATTATTATTTTTTGTATTTTTAGATGATGAAAAGGTATAACTTTAATTGCTATTATAAAAGATTAAAAGCATGTATAGTGATTACCCGAAATTCCACTCAGCACAAATGTAAGGGCCAATGCGTAAATTAACATAGAGGCCCGCTTCTTGTACGGTTTTTATGAACTTAACTAAATCATATCTTCCTTCAAAATTATACTGGAAACATAAAAATTCATTAATTTTTTAATAATAATAATAATAATTTTGTAATTAATTTTATACCTTTCCAGGAGATGGTTCATGCCCATTCCAAAATACGTAAGTTTGAATGACATCTAAGCCTCCATCCTTTGCCTTTTTTATAAGGTCAGGCCACATCTACACATACACAACAAATTCAAAAATTAGGACCAAAATATTTCAAATTATGTGACTCACATGAAAAACATATGATTTTGATTTTTGAAAAAAAAAATCAAGAATCAGAAACCCTCATAAATCTTTAAAACCCAGTGAGAGCATTGAGGAATCAAGAAGAAGAAAACCCAAAAAGAATCTGTACCTGAGGGGTGCTTCGTGGGTAATGAATTGAACCCGACATGAGGATTCTTCGTCTGCCATTGATGATGATTGCTTTATCATCGTAAGAAACAGCTCCATTAATGGAGGAACAAACGCAAGAAAAAACAACTAGTAACACCAGAAGAATCTTGATTCTGAGAATTTTCGGCATTCTTGATTTGAATACCCACTTTGAGTTTTACACACTTTGTCTTCTTTGAAAGATTCAGAAAAAAGGAACTTAGGTTTATTTTTGATGCTTTTGATGGTGAAGTATTAATGGGTTTTTGTATAAGGGGGGGTGGGGAATGGGGGATGTTGATATGAATATGAAATATGAATTCAAGAAGACGAGCAACTTCTTATAAAGATTCAAATGGGTCCCATTCTTGTAGTAAAAGTGGCTCCACCATAACCAACAACGCAGAATTTGGTATTCTCCAATACATTTCTTTCTAATATTGGTTTTCAAATTCCCAAAATAATATTTATTTTGTGTTATCTAGAAAAGCACACTATTTATTTCCCTAACTTTTACGTTATAATATATATTTTTTATATTACACAACTCTAGTTTTTGTTGATAGAGTAATTTGGTTCATGTAAGTTTAGGGTTTATCGACAAAAGTAAAATATTTTACTAATGTTCTATGTTTTACATAAAATGGTAAGTATAGTTTTTTTTTTTGTTTTTTTCAGTGATTAATAAATTTGTTATATTGATTAGTAAAATCATAAAAGAATATTGCATTTTTGTAAGGAATTGAATAATTTATTTGTTATTAACAATCTGGATTCGTATGGTCTTTTAATCATTGCAAAAAGTTATATAAAAAAGTTAATAAAAAACCAAACATATTTATAAATTATATTAGAAAAAGGATAAGTTTATATAAAAGGCTTAGGAGTATTTTCTTTGTAAATTGTTGAAGCAACCTAATTAGTTTTGCATTTAATGAAAGTTGCTTCTTCAAGCAAAATTATATGTGGACCCTTATACTAGAGATAATTGTACTAAACCGTCTTCGGACATGGTCAAGAATGTCACACATCCAAAATGGTATTATGAATAATATAAATA